ATTCCAAAATTGTAATAATTTCCCAGCTTTAAGTACATTTAAGCAAAACAAAATAGGCAAGACAAATAAATAAATTTACTATTTCTCAACAATTTCTATCCAGTGATATCGTACCGACGAGTTCAAAGGAAAAGGAAAGCGACGAATTATTGTATTACGATACGGTCACTCGTTATGGTCCGCGAACCAGTGCAAGAGGGTTAATGGCGTACACGCGTGTACATCCGTGTACGTGGATTTTCTGAAACGATTCAGTCTCAAGGATAGCGATCGACTTTGGCAAGAAGGGTCATTTGACCGGGTGGGAGTGGGAGGGGGAGAGGGGAGAGGGGAGAGGAGTTCCGCGTTAATCGTCCCTGAAGGCGCATTGCCCACGACGGGGGAAACGGGCCTTCGGACTGGGTCGAAGGACGAAACTTTATGGGTGTCTTTCGCGAACTTGAAAATCCTTGTCCAGTCCCCCTCTCCTTTTGCGCGCCATATTCGGAGTCCTAGCCACGAGAAACGACGTTCGTCCTTTGAGACGCTCCCGATTCTAGAAACTTGTTACACGTTCCTTCCCCCCCTTGATCGTCTGCGCTTCGAGAGATTGCCCAGACACAACAAAGATCGAGATGAGTCACGTAGTTATCTCGTAGTGTCTCGTTTCGAAAATGTTCCGAATATTTTCGGCGAGCAATCGAGCAAGTTAACCGCCAGAGGAGGATCTGCTGCTCTCATAGTTGAGAGCCGCGCGAGACTCGTTTTCACGGAGGCTTTTCGCGTTGCGCGTAGGAACGGGCATTTGATTTCGACACGAGCCGTGATCTCATGCGTCTTTCGTTCGAGCGCGTGGCCTGCACGCGGAGGGCGTTGGATGCAAATCCAACGTGATGCAAGGAAATGTTTGCTCTGGGAAATTGAGCAACAACTCGGAGAGCTCAGGCTGCGCGCTCGAGGTTCGAGGAATATATATGTTTCAACGAATATATATATATATATATATATATATATATATATATATATATATATATATTCGGGGGAACAGCGAATATAATCAGATTTACGCAGGAGGCACGTGCACACGGTCGTGCTTCATCTGCTAATGAAAAGCGCAATGGACGCGGAAACGCGACGGTTAATTAGATTTAATCGACAGGTTACGGGCCGGCCGTAACAATGGAACGGGACAACGTGACGATACAGAGTGATACCATTGAAAGGATGTTGGGCGCTTGTTTCTCGTCTGTCAACCGTTACCCGCCAGCTTGGTACGCCACTTCCGCGTCCAGTCGGCCGAAACGTCTGCTAATCTAGTCTGGTAATCTCGATTAGCATTTACACGAGCGACTTCTAGCGCCGTATGTCTTCGTGGAACGCCTCGTCCCGGTTCACTGAAGCGTTTAAACCGGGATCGATCGGCTAATAAGAAACGACTACATAAAAGCCAACGGCGGCACCTCTCGGGCCCCTGCCAATTAAGTATCACTCGCGCCAGAGATTCGAGCAAGTACGCGCCAGTTCGCGTTGAAAATTTCTTTTCTTTTCGCGAATTTCGTAGGTCCGGAATGGTTGATTAGAATCTTTCGATCGCCAAGTGTTTTTCTATATACGTATTTTGTATAGTAGGAAGAGTTGCTCGACTATTATGAAAGATTGCAGAAAAAGAAAGAAAAAGGTTGAGAAACATTGAGACACGAATCGGGCGAAGCATCGATGGCTTTCGAACTACCGAATCGGCCGCGAGTTAACTAACTTTTTTCAGATTCTTAGGAGGAAAAGCGCCCGTTCGCAAATATAAAACTTTCACCGTCGTTTGTTTTCCGCCTCGTAACGCCGTATTGTTTGCTTTATGAACTCACTCCGCGGAGCCGTTTATCTTCCGATGGACAGACACCGATTCTTTCACGCACAAATGTAAAACGATAGGCAACATAGAGATAGACGGATAGACACATAGGCTGGACCAAAAGTTTCTTCCCACCTATTTATTTTTAATAAAGCAACAAAATACAAGAAAAAACTAATTTCATTAATTTTAAATTCAATTTAAATAAAAATAAAATAAAATAAATAAATAAATAAATTTCATAATAATTTAAATTTAATTTATAAGTTTCAATGATTTAAAAATTATTAATTTACAAATTTCATAATAATTTAAATTTAATTCAGATAGATACATATAGGGCGGGCCAAAAGTTTCTCCCCACCTATTTATTTTTAATAAAACAAAATATAAGGAAAAACTAATTTCGTTGATTTCAAATTAAATTTAAATTCAGATAGATACATATAGGGTGGGTCAAAAATTTATCCCCCCCTATTTATTTTTAATAAAACAAAATATAGGAAAACTAATTTCGTTAATTTCAAATTAAATTTAAGTTCATAGATAGATAGATACAGCGTGTGCCAAAAGTTTCTTCTCGCCTATTTTTTTTAAATAAAACATCAAAAATATAAGAAAAAAACTAATTCCATCAATTTTAAATTAAATTTAAGTTTAAACATGAATTTTTCATATTTCTACGTTTTAAAAATTACTTCTTCCAAACACTGAAACAGATTACGGATTTATTTTAGAAGGAAGTGATTTTTGGCCCACCCTATAGACAGATAAATAGATAGAAAGAAAGAAAAAGCGCGTGTGTGTGTGTGTGTGTGCATAGATCGCAAGGGAAAATTTACATGCTATCGGGTTGCTATCGAATTTTACGAGCGCGAAAACTGGGTCGTTCGACTTTCGCGGAAATCGGAGCTTACGAAATCCTCCGATTCTTGTTGAAGTTGTACGCTGCTGGATCAAGATCGACCGTTACGCCACGATAAGGCTCCCCCCCCCCCCCCTCCCTTTGCCTCCCCGCGAACATTTCTTTTTTCCTTTTCCTACTTTCCATCGAGGTACCGACGACGACCACCACCCAGAGCCAGAACCTAGTCGGAACGAGAGGCTGAAGTATAGATTCTCGCGAGGTGAGCACCGGCTTCTCTTTGTGGACAAAGGCATGGCATACCGCAGTGGCGTTGGCAACTGGCCAACGCAGAAAAAGAGAGAAATAGAGAGCACCGTCTGTCCTTCTGGTTCTCGGTTCACGCCGATTCTTGAAAATTCGCGGCTACTATCACTGCGTCGTTTGAGAATGTTTCCAACGATAACAGCGCAACATCGACCAACACAATATAACACGCTTGTCGCGGACAATCGGAGGAAGGAGCATCCGGCGCTAACCAGGGCAAACGATTTTTTTTCTTAACTCGACTTTCGAAACTCGTATGATAAATAAAATAATGTTTCCTCAACGATGGAGCTCGTGGCTGGCAAGAAAAACCACAGCTGAAAGGAAAACAGAGCCGGCGATCGCGTCGTCAGAAACACGCTTCATTTTCAACGACGACGTGCAACAGGTCGCGCGATTTCTTGCCGGATTATGGCTCGAACGCACGACAAACTTTTATTACGTCTGAACGTAAAACCGGCCCCTGCTCGCTCGTGTACGAAGCGAAAATAAAGTCGCGCTTTCGATGCCCGAAAATACTCAAAGATTTGATTATATCAGCGCGAGTCTCGATATATGCATGTACGTAAGAAACGCCGAGCGCCTCTTTTTCTCGCGAGCGAGCATTGGGCACATATGCGAGCCAAGTGTATCGATATGATTTGTATCGAGAGTCTATTGGCACCTATTTTTTGCTAATTATTCGCGTACAATTCGTGCGTATGTTATTGCAAGCGCAACGTATTACTGAAATACTTGGACGCGTGGTGCAATTCGATTGGATAGCTGCTATCTTTGTTAATTACGTTCTTAAAGTCACGGCGCAAGTTAATTTATATTTAGCATTAATTCATGTAATTCATTTAATTTTTTATAATTTGTAGCAGTTAATTTATAATTTATAATTAGTATTATATTAATACTGTTAAATTATATTTATATTAATTTATATAATATTGATTTTTAATAATTTTTAGTAGTTAATTTATAATTAGTATTATATTAATACTGTTAAATTACATTTATATTAATTTATATAATATTGATTTTTAATAATTTTCAGTAGTTAATTTATAATTAGTATTATATTAATACTGTTAAATTACATTTATATTAATTTATATAATATTGATTTTTAATAATTTTTAGTAGTTAATTTATAATTAGTATTATATTAATACTGTTACATTATATTTATATTAATTTATATAATATTGATTTTTAATAATTTTTAATAGTTAATTTATAATTAGTAATATTATTAATAATATTAATCTTTAA